TGACTCTATGTCCCCCTACCTAGCCCTTCCTAGCCCTGTTTGTCCCTAACTCAGTTAGGGAGAGCTTGTATGATGAGTTATTATTTAAGCTGAGAATGACTAGAAGGAATCAGATATGTAATAGGGTAAATATATTCTAGTCTGAGACTACCAGTACTGCAAAGGTCATGAACTGAGTGCCAGGTAAGAAGGCCAGTGGACTGACATATGGTGGCAAGGAGGAAAGTGGTATGTGATGACATTGGAGAGGAAAGCAGAAGCCAGAGCAGGGTCTTGCAGACCAGAGAAAGAAGTTAAGATTTTATTGTAAATGTAATGGAAAGCCATTAGAGGATTTTAAGTGGGAGGGTGGCACGATCTGATTTATAGCTTTGGAAGGTTTTCTCGTTACTATGCAGAGAATGGATTGTGTAGGGCCAGAGTGGAAGCCCAGCATCTGATTAAAATAGCACTGGGGAGGCATGAGAGGCAGTGGTGCTTGGTTGAAAGTGGTAGTAAGAGACATGGAAAGGTGAATATGGCTGGGATATGTTTTGCAGGTAAAATAATCCTGCGGAGTTTTTATTTTGGGAAACTAAACAGATGGTAGTGCAATTTACTGAGATGCACAGAACTGGGCTGAACTGGTTGACAGTGACAGTAAAACAAAAGTTTTATTGTGGTCATAGCACTTTTGGGACACACAAATGGAAATGTCAAGTGGGCAGATGTGAACCTGGAGTTCTGAGCCAAGTCAGGCACAGCTACATGTCCGTGTGCAGATTGTGCTCTGCACTTGAAGAGAAGTACAGATTGTGTGTGTCCTAAAGAACATCGTTAGCATAGATTTGGAAACCCCTGGCCTACAGATGGTATTAAAGCCACAGGAATAAGTGAGATTTCAGCAAACTCAGGATAATCATTCTTAGCTTTTAAACAAAATGAAGCAAATGATGCTGTATTTTCAAAATTCACTTTAATTCTGTATGAAGAGCCAATTCAAACAATTTATTCTGAAGCGCTAAATTTAAATCACCTTTTGATGAAAAAAAATGGATTTCAGATCAGTGAACTTCCTTTATATAGATGTTCTTCTTTTGATGGACGGCAGAATTCTAGATGAAGTTGTATCAGTGCTGATGTTTGGCAGATGTGCAATATATGTGTAAGATCGCCTGCTGCACTAATAATTGTTGGTATCAGTCTTTTGTGTTCTTGTTAAATACTTTCATGATTTTTGTGGCTTTTGATTGGTTATGTTTTTTACATTTAAATTTTTTATCCATCTGGAATTTATTTTGGTGTAAAGTAGGAAGAATCTAAATTTATTTTATTTCAAATCTTAGCCAACTGTCTCAGAACACTTACCATATGAACCTAGGCTTTTCCTATTGATCTGAAATGCCAAATGCTAAATTCCCAAGTGGATCATGAGATCTGTTTCTGGAATCTCTATTCTGTTTCCATGGATCTTATTCATGATCCAGGTCATTTTATATCAAATTCAAATCACATATGTATTAAAAATTTTCCATGTTACAATATCTGCTCATTTATCAAGTCACAACAAAAAATACTTTGCTAGTGTTCTATGAAGTTCTTCCCATATTATAAGCCAATTGCAGTATCTACTGAGCCAAGGTGTCATTGAAAAGTTATACTTTAGCTACCTTCTCTATCAGATTCTGTCAATGTTTCCAGGCAAACTGGAATTCTTTTTAGAAAGTATTATTTTTATAGATTTATTATACATATAAATTTAGTACAATTCAATAAAAATTCCAGTTGGTAATTTTTGAAACTTAATAAAAACACCCTAAAAATTTATTTGGAGAAGAAAAAAAAATCCATGGAAAATAGCTGATTTTATAAAACAATTATGATGAAACAGGATTTTTTATTATCAGATATAAACATGATGATAATAACATGAAGAAAGAAGCATTTTTTTCTTTTCTTTTAAAATGTTATTTATTTATTCATGAGAGACACAGAAAGAGAGACAGAGACACAGGCAGAGAGAGGAGAAGCAGGCTCCATGCAGGGAGCCCGATGTGGGACTTGATCCCAGGAATCCGGGATCACACCCTAACCCAAAGGCAGACGCTCTACCCCTGAGCCACCCAGGCATCCCAAAAAGCAATTTTTTTCAACTTCATTGCCAACTAACACAAGGAGCTTTATAATGTATAAAACTATGATTATATTGTCAACAGATGCAGTTTGGAGCTTATGTTTTGTGCAGGGGTTATATTCTGATGGTGCAGCTGCAATGGCAGGAAAACGTTCTGGAGTGGTTAGCAAGATTAAGGAGGTTGCACCAGAAGGTAACCTGACATATTGCTTCTTGAATAAAGAAGTCTAGCTTTAAAAAAGAGTCAGTTGAGCTAAAGAGTACCATAAAATAATAAAAATTCTGAAATAGGTAAAGTCAATGTGTTAAATACAAGATTATTCTACTATGTGATAACATAGAAGCTGATAAATTCCTGTTGTTTCATGCTGCAGTACTATGGCTATCAAGGTAAAAATTCCTTTCAGAAATCTAAATTCTTAGTTTTCCTGCAAGGTAAGAAATCAGTTTGGTCTAAACTCTGAAGAATCCTTAACTTTTTGAAGATGTGAATTGGAAAACCTGCCTCGCTTATTGGCCTGGTATCTTTGGTATTTTTAATGATCACAATCCTTCCTGTAAGAAAGAACTGCAACTGGCTTGTTAATGATAGTGCTAAAGGCCATCTGGATGTCCATGGGCACCTGAAATTCAACATATCCACAGCTGAATTCATTACTTTTCCCCCAAACCTGTCCTTCCTCCTTGTCTTTTCCTGATAATTGTATCACCCACCATCCACCTTATTACCTAAGCCAGACACCTGAAAATTGGCTTTCACCTATGTCTTGTCTTCTTTATCAACTTGCCTTCCAAGTTATGTTGATCCTACCTCCGTGTCATCTATGTGTCATCTCTGTGTCATATATGCTCCTTCCAGTGAATCTAATTACTTCTACCTTGAGGTAGTCCCTGGTCCTCTTACCTTGGGCTTCTTACTCTCCACCAATGAATCCATTCTTCAGCTGGCCACCAGAATACACTTTCCAAATACAAACATCTTTTTTTTTTAAAGATTTATTTATTCATGAGACACACACACACACAGAGAGAGAGAGAGAAAGAGAGAGAGAGAGAGAGAGAGGGAGAGGCAGAGACACAAGCAGAGGGAGAAGCAGGCTCCATGCAGGGAGCCTGACATGAGACTTGATCCTGGATCTCCAGGATCACACCCTGGGCTGCAGGCAGCGCTAAACCACTGCGCAACTGGGGCTGCCCCAAATACAAACATCTTCATGTCACTTTCCTATTAAGTCTTTTCTGAGCTTTCTTTTACCCACAGGAGAAACTGTACTCTTTAGAGTGTCATCTTAACCCTAAACTCTGGCCCCTGCCTCTCTCCAGCTTCAAATTTTTACATTCTCTTAGTATTTCTCACCCCAGCCATACCTGAGTACTTGAGGTGCTTGGAACTCTGTTTTGCTTCATGCCTTTCTGCCTTTACGCACACTTGGAATTCTATCCCATTATTTTTCCTAGTTATCTTTCAAGATTTAGTTCAAGCTTTACCACCTTTGGGTAGCATTTCCTATCTTCATCCTCTCATGTAATATTTTTTTTGCCACAGAATCAATGGTTTCTCCTTTATATTCCTCTTCTGGAGGACTTTTTAACTATAGTACCCACAATACTGTATTATAATTATTTGTTTACCGTTTTCCTTAATAAATTGGGAGCACCTTGAATCAGGGACCTTATCTTTTTGTTGTTGTTGTTTATTCCTAGTATTTGTCAATACCTGTACAATTTAGGCAGTCTGTTAAAATTCTTTGAATGAATGAGTTAGTAAATGAGAAGTTTCAGAGGTGCAATGAAAAGGGTTGGCAGAGAATGCAGTAGTGTTAAAACTGGTCAAGAGGAAGACACAGGGAAATGCAGCAACAGTAATAAGGGAAAGGATAATTTATTAAGGGAGACTTGGCTTTGTATGGTGGTTGAGGATAAGAGACGTGGTGGGGTTAACTAGCTTTAAGCTTCTCACTAAAAATTCTGGTACAAGGTTTTTCTATTGCTCTAGAAGTATAGATGGTATCTGGGGTCAAATGAAGTTTGGTGGATATCATTCAGTTTGCAAATATTAGCACATACAAACTAAATCTTTACAGTAACAACACTGCATTTATATAGTGCTTTACTGTGTACAAAATCCTTTACTTCTATTATTTTGAATCTTAGAACAGTTATTTCCCTAAGCTTCAGTTTTCTTTTTTTTTTTTCTTTTTTTTTTTTTTTTTGTAAAATGAAGATAATAGCCATCTCCTAGGATTGTTTACAAGATGTGTTGTTATGTCTGGCACACAGTTTAGTACCAAATATGTTGTTAGAGCAGGAATTTGAGGCCCAAAATGGGTCAATGACTTGCTTGAGGTTACAAAAGTAAGTTAGTGGCAGATTTAGATATACATTCCATATCTTATGGCTTCCTGTTAAAATATTCACTTTACTACACTACACTATAGTATTTTTTACATTACTTGGTGCATGACATCTTTAATTTCCTTGAGAGGCTCACCCAAAAGCAGGCTTTGGAATTACTCTATCAGAGAGCTGATTGCCAAAATCAAGCAAAGTCTAAAAGATGGCTAAAATCAAAATGCAAATATAAATAATTTTTATAGCTTGCATTGTTTCCTAGTCTATTTTATACTTGAAGGTTGTCATCAGAGAATCTTAGCAGACTCGCTCCTGCCCTCGTGAAGTTCTGTGAAGATTTGCTCTCATTTTAACTGATTTTTAAAATACTGTTTTTGAGTCCAGTTTTTCTGCCAGAACAAGTGTCAGTTTGGGGCCCTAGAATTAAGGTAGCAGGCATCTGAAGTGGGAACTGGAGCAGAAAGAGAGTGAAGAGTGAATCTGGGCTACAGCAGACACTGACAATCATACCCATCTGTCCTTGTGTTTTCTGTAGAGTTTTGTCCAGGAAGAATCTGACGCCACAAAATGTGAACTGGAGATGAAATTATTAAGTGAAACAGTTTTATCAGGTATTCTTCTAAATTACATTTGTAGAACTTAACTTTATTGGGATTTTTCTGCTTAAACAGAAATGCAGGGTCATTATTTAAAAAGTTCGGATATTGCAGAAATATATTTAAAGTGAAAATTCTTCATAATCTCTCTTCTGAAATAGTAAATATTAACAAAAATTTCTCCTATTTGTATTTCTTCTCTTTGTAGCTCTCTTTTCATTTTTAATGAAACCATGATATATCATTACAAATGTTTGAAAATTACTTTTTTATCAGTAATATTTGTTATTTTATGTAACATATTCTGCATACATACATAGAACATACTACATATTCTACTTAAATGAATTATAGTCAACACTATCCTAAATCAGAGCACATTATAACCTTGCTTTTTAGTAGCTGTATATTCCATCCTGTAGTGGAACATTATTTAAATCTTTATTAATATACAATAAAGTTCTTTTTAATTTTTTTATTACAAACAATGTTGTAATGAATATTCACAAACACATATACAATCATAAATTTCTCAACACTTTTGTATTCAGTCCTGGAAAATCGCAATTGGAGAGAGTTTTAAAATGTCAAAATGATAGTGATGTCTAATTTGCAAATCTTTATTTTATTTTTTTCAATGCCTTAAAATAGCAACTCTCATTTATTTTATTTTTTAATATTTTCTTTCAATTCAATTTGCCAAAAATAGTGTAACACCCAGTGCTCATCTCATCATGTGGCCTCCCTTAATGCCCATCACTCAGTTACCCCATTCCCCACCCACCTCTCCTTTTGCAACTCTTTGTTTGTTTCCCAGAGTTAGGAGGCTCTCATGGTTTGTCTTCCTCTCCCATTTTTCCCGACTCAGTTTCCCTTCTTTCCCTTATGTTCCCTATCACTATTTCTTATATTCCACAGATAAGTGAAACCATATGATAATTGTCTTTCTCTGATTGACTTATTTCACTCACATAATACCCTCCAGTTCATCCATGTCAAAGTAAATGGTAGGTATTCATCCTTTTTGATGGCTGAGTAATATTCCATCATTTACATATCTTCCACAGTTTGGCTATTGTGGACATTGCTGCTATGAACATTGGGGTTGTTTCATTACATCTATATCTACATCTGTATCTTTGGGGTAAATACCCAGTGCTGTAATTGCAGAGTCATAGGGTAGCTCTATTTTTAACCTCTTGAGGAACCTCCACACTGTTTTCCAGAGTGGTTGTACCAGTTTGTATTCCCACCAACAGTGTAAGAGGGTTCCCCTTTCTTCACATACTCCCCAACATTTGTTTCCCATCTTCTTAATTTTAACCATTCTCAGTGGTGTAAAGTAGTAATATCTCATTGTGGTTTTGATTTGTATTTCTCTGATGGCAAGTGATGTGGAACAATTTTTCATGTGTTTGTTGGCCATCTGTAGGTCATCTTTGGAGAACTGCCTGTTCATGTCTTCTGCCCATTTCATAACTGGATTGTTTGTTTCTTGGGAGTTGAGTTTGATAAGTTCTTTTTTTTTATTTTTTTTTGAGTTTGATAAGTTCTTAATAGATCTTGGATATTAGCCCTTTATCTGATATGTCATTTGCAAATTATCTTCTCCCATTCTAAATGTTGCCTTTTAGTTTTGTTGGCTGTTTCCTTTGCTGTGCAGAAGCTTTTTACCTTGATGAAGTCCTAATAGTTCATTTTTGGTTTTGTTTCCCTTGCCTTCATAGATGTGTCTTGCAAGAAATTGCTGTGGCCAAGTTCAAAAAGGTTGTTGCCTGTGTTCTCCTCTAGGATTTTGATGGATTCTTGTCTCACATTTAGATCTTTTAGCCATTTTGAATTTAGCTTTCTGTATGATGTAAGAAAATGGTCTAGTTTCATTCTTCTGCATGTGGCTGTCCAATTTTCCCAAAACTATTTATTGAAGAAACTTTTTTTTTTTTCCATTGGATATTCTTCATTGCTTTGTCAAAGATGAGTTGACCATAGAGTTGAGGGTCCATTTCAGGATTCTCTATTCTGTTCCAATGATCTATGTGTCCGTTTTTGTGCCAGTACCATACTGTCTTGATGATCACAGCTTTGTAATACAGCTTCAAGTCAGGCATTGTGATGCCCCCAGCTTTGGTTTTCTTTTTCAACATTCCTCTGGCTATTTGGGGTCTTTTCTGGTTCCATACAAATCTTAGGAATATTTGTTCCAACTCGGTGAAGAAAATCCATTGTATATTGTTAGGAATTGCATTGAATATGTAAATTGCTCTGGGTAGCACAGACATTTTCACAATATTTGTTCTACCAATCCAGGGGCATGGAATGTTTTTCCATCTCTTTGTGTCTTCCTCGGTTTCTCTAATAAGTGTTCTGTAGTTTTTAGAGCAAAGATCCTATACCTCTTTGGTTAGATTTATTCCTAGGTATCTTACAGTTTTGGGTGCAATTGTAAATGGGATTGATTCCTTAATTTGTCTTTCTTCAGTCTCATTGTTACTGTATAGAAATACAGCTAATTTCTGTGCATTGATGTTGTATCCTGCCATGTTGCTAAATTGTTGTATGAGTTCTAGCAATTTTGGGGTGGAATCTTTTGGGTTTTCTACATACAGTATCATGTCGTCTGTGAAGAGGGAGAGTTTGACTTCCTCTTTGCCAACTTGAATGCCTTTATTTCTTTTTGTTGTCTGATTGCTGAGGCTAGAACTTCTAGGACTCTGTTGAATAACAGTGGTGAGAGTGGATATCTCTGCCATGTTCCTGACCTTAGGGGAAAAAACCATTTTTCCCCGTTGAAAACGATATTCACTATGGGCTTTTCATAGATGGCTTTTATGATATTGAGATATGTTCCCATTATCCCTACACTTTGAAGAATTTTAATAAGGAATGGATGCTATATTTTGTCAAATGCTTTCTCTGCATCTATTGAGAGGATCATATGGTTTTCTTGTCTTTTATTGATGTGATCTATCATATCCACTGTTTTACGAATGTTGAGCCACCCTTGCATCCCAGGGATAAATCTCGCTTGGTCATGGTGAATAATCCTCTTAATGTACTGTTGGATCCTATTGGCTAATATCTTGGTGAGAATTTTTGCATCCATGTTCATCAGGGATATTGCTCTGTAATAATTCTTTTTGGTGGGATCTTTGTCTGATTTTGGAATCAACGTAATGCTGGCCCCATAGAACGAGTTTGGAGGTATTCCTTCCATTTCTATCCTTTGAAACAGCTTTAGTAGAATAGGTATTATTTCTCCTTTAAGGGCAGCCCAGGTGGCTCAGCAGTTTAGTGCCACCTTCAGCCCAGGGCCTGATCCTGGAGACCCGGGATCGAGTCCCACGCCGGGCTCCCTGCATGGAGCCTGCTTCTCCCTCTGCCTGCATCTCTGCCTCTCTCTCTCTCTCTCTCTCTCTCTCTCTCTCTCTTTCTCTCATGAATAAATAAATAAAATCTTAAAAAAAAATCATTTTTCCATTAAATGTTTTGTGGAACTCCCCTGGGAAGCCATCTGGTCCTGGACTTTTGTTTCTTTGGAGGTTTTTGATGACTGCTTCAATTTCCTCGCTCGTTATTTGTCTGTTCAGGTTTTCTATTTCTTCCTTTTTCAGTTTTGGTAATTTGTAGGTTTCCAGGAATGCATCCATTTCTTGCATATTGCCTATTTTTTTGGCATATAGTTGCTCATAATATGTTTTTAAATTCATTTATATTTCCTTGGTATTGTTTGTGATCTCTCCTCTTTCATTCATGATTTTGTTAATTTGAATCTTTTTTCTTTTTAATAAGTCTGGCCAGGGGTTTATTTATCTTCTTAATTCTTTCAAAGAACCAGCTCTTGGTTTCGTTGATCTCTGAGTTCTGCTCTAATCTTTATTTCTCTCCTTCTGCTTGGTTTGGGATTTATTTGCTGTTCTTTCTCATATTCCCTTAAGTGGAAGGTTAACCTGTGTATTTGAGATTTTTCCAATTTTTTGAGGGAGGCTTGTGTTGAAATGTATTTCCTTCTTAGGACTACCTTTGCTGTATCCCAAAGATTTTGAACAGTTGTGCTTTCATTTTTGTTAGCTAATTCTTCTCTAATTTCCTGGTTGACCCATTCATCTTTTAGTAGGATGCTCTTTAACCTCCAAGTGTGAGTTTCTTCCAAATTTCTTCTTGTGGATTGAATTCTAGTTTCAAACCATTGTGGTCTGAAAATATGCAGGGGACAATCCCAATCTTTTGGTATTGGTTGAGGCCTGATATGTGACCCAGTATGTGGTCTATTCTGGAGAAAGTTCCACGTGCACTTGAGAAGAATATGTATTCTGGTTGCATTAGGATGAAATGTTCTGCATATATATGTCAAATCCATTTGGTTCAGTGTGTCATTCAAAGCCCTTGTTTCTTTGGTGATGTTCTGCTTAGAGTATCTGTCTTTTGCTGAGAGTGCTGTGTTGAAGTCTCCTACTATTAGGGTATTATTACGTATGAGTCTCTTTACTTTGGTTATTAATTGATTGATATACTTGGCTGCTCCCACATTAGGGGCATAAATATTCATAATTCTTAGGTCTTCTTGTTGGATAGCGCCTTTAAGTATGACATAGTGTCCCTCTTCATCTCTTATTACGGTCTTTGGTATAAACTCTAATTTATCTGATAATGAAGATTGCTACCCCAGCTTTCTTTTAGGGACCATTTGAATGGTAAATGGTTCTCCTCCCCTTCATTTTCAGTCTGGAGGTGTCCTTAGGTCTAAAATGAGTCTCAGCATATAGATGGATCTTGCTTTTTTTATCCAGTCTGATACCCTACGTCTTTGGTGGGATCATTTAGCCCATTCACGTTCAGATACTATTGAAAGATCTGAATTTAGTATCATAGTATTACCTATACAGTCCCTGTTCTTACGGATTGTTTCTTTGGGCTCCTTTTTTCTTTTACAGGGTCCCCCTTAATATTTCTTGCAGAGCCAGTTTGGTGGTCACAAATTCTTTCAGTTTCTGGCTATCCTGGAAGTCCTTTATCTCTCCTATTTTGAATGACAGCCTTGATGGATAAAGTATTCTTGGCTGCATGTTTTTCTCATTTAGTACCCTGTATACATCCTGCCAGCCCTTTCTGGCCTGCCAGGTCTCTGGGGATAGGTCTGCTGTTAATCTGATGTTTCTCCCCATATAAGTTAAGAATCTCTTGTCTCAAGCTGCTTTTAGGATTTTCTCTTTATCTCTGAAATTTGCAAGCTTCACTACTATAAGTCTGGGTGTTGATTGGTTTCTATTGATTCTGGGGCGATCCTCTCTATCTCTTGGATATGTATGCCTGATTCCTTCCTCAGGTTAGGGAAGTCTCAACTATGATTTGTTCAAACATATTTTCTGGTCCTTGCTCTCTCTCTCCACGTCCTCTGGAATCCCAGTAAGACAAATATTATTCTTTCACAAGCTATCACTTAATTTTCAGAGTCTCATGGACTCTCATGGACTCTTAGTTGTTTTCTCTCTTTTCCTTAGCTTCCTTTCCATCAACTCATCTTCTATGTCACTCACTCACTCTCTCTTCTGCCTCATTAACCCTAGCTGTTAGAGCATCCAGTTCAGACTGCATCTTGGTTAAAGTATTTTTAATTTAGGCCTGATTAGTTTTCAATTCTGCGGTAAGAGAATCTCTAGAGTCTTTTATGCTTTTTTAAAGAGCCACCAGGAATTTTATAATTATAATGTTGAATTTTGTCTCTGACATCTTACTTAAATCGATATCCATTCAAACTGTGCCAGAGAGTATTACTTCCAGTTGTTTCTTTTGTGGTGTATCCTTCCTTCCATTGTTATTTTGTCCAGTGCAGAATGGCTGTATGAGTGAGTAGAGTAAAAAAATATCAACCACGACCTAAGTAAAATACACCCTATCTGACTGTGATTTGCAGTTTATAGCACAAGTTGAGCTTTCTCCTGGGCACTCCTGTTTTTTATGCATCTCCAGGAATATTGAGACTTTGCTGCTCCTTCTGGAATTTTGTCCTATTTCACCACTGAGCACTTTTCAGGCAGGCAAGACTCTCTCAGGAGCAGATTTTAAAGGATCCAATTGCATGCCCTAGTGCTGCACCACTTTCCTGCAGTGTCTTACAAAGCCTCCCTCCCCTACACTGTTTATCTTCCAATATATCCCCTCTGTTTCTCTTCTTCACACTCCTACTTGTAAGACATGATCACTTTTCTCCAGCTGTAGTGTTCCAGCTGTTCTTTCTTTACATCTCAGGTTGAATTCATAAGTGTTCAGGGTGGTTTGAAAGTTATCTAGCTAAATTTGGGGGACCAGATGAAACAAGGATCCCTACTCTTCTACCATCCTGCCTCCTCTCCACTGTCATTTATTTCGCATATAAATGCCAATTTTTGACAAAGTTCAGCAAAGATAGCTCATCTCTGCTTCATATAGCATCAGCTGAGGTGGCGATACAGGGGCCTGGAGAATCTACATTCCAGGCAGCTCACTCACCTGGATGGCAAGATGGTCTAATTTGCAAATCTTTTAGTTTGGGATTTATGTACACCACTTCCCACTAACTCCAGGGGAATCCATTTTCTATAGATTTCTTAGCATTTTTTCATAACATTTCTTGTCTACTTCACTTTTTTCCAACACACTTTTATGTCAGCAGCCAACTAGGTTTATACCTTTATAACTTTTCTATAATCCTAAGGAGGTAATTTTCCTGTTTAGAGTTAAGATAATATAGTCAGTTCATGAACCTCTGTCAATAATACCTAGGTTTTCTGCATGGTGATCCCTGAATAGTATATATTATAAATGTCTGAATTTGGATACAATACTCTTTTTCCTTTTTAGGTTAAATGGATTCTTAATTAGATACATTTGAAAATTAAAGTCTGCTTTTTATTGAAGATATACAAGGGAAAAGGGGCAATTGCTTAACAGGAACTTTCTTTGCATGTCATCATTAATTCTCAGTGTCTGATCTCCATGGGTTAAACTCAGTGGTTTCTCAGTGTTTCCTTTTATGGGAGAGGGAAATTGTAATGATAAATAATAAGAGTAACAGTTTCTAAGATTTACTATGTGTTTGGCACCTGTTTTAAGCTTTTTACATGTATTAACTTACAACTTCCCCAAATTCAATAAGGTAGATACTAATATCTCTTTTTTAGAGGAAGGGAAGAAAAGACATGTTAATTAGCATATACTGCATAAGGTCACACAGCTAGTAAAGAGTGAAACGTATATGAGGTCTGATTTCCCTTTCTTATCCATCACACTACATTGAAAGCGTTTTGGTGACAGTTGGGAATGGTCTTAGTGATATGTAACTTAAAATATTCCCTTGATTATGCACTGACAATCATGGAATTATGGAATTTCCCCATAAAATTTCTAAACAGAAGGGATTATACAATACAGTTCTTCACTTTTAAGCCTCAATCCCCACCCCAACCCCCCTTTTTGTAGTGAGCTGGCCCTGTTTTTGCTGAAAAAAAAAATTAGCCTTAATTTAATGTATGGACCAAAATTTATTTTTTTCATGATTTTACTTTCTTCTTTCAGATTTTTAGCCCCATAAGGTCCAATTAAAAAACATTATGTCATCAAATTTTGTGTTAAGCCACTTTTTTGTTATTTTATAATGAGAGGTAGTGGAATATGCCACCCCAAAATATGCTACTTTGGCATAAGGATATTTTAAGTTAAGAGCAATTGAAAAGATAAAGATGTAAGAAAAGCTGCCTACCCTCCCCCTATTTGTCTAAAAGTAGGACATAAAATTTCAAAGGTGTCCCTCCTCCCCTCTTTACCAGGAGAGACAGTGGTTAATGACCAGAGACAGCTTCAAACCCTGTCAGCCTGGAGAGGGGACAAGGGGAATCTGCATAACAAACTTTACTAACTAGTCCTTTTCTCTACCCTCAGAAACTGCTTTCCTTTGTCTTGTCAGTTCTCCATAAATTTGTTGTTCTTGGTTGAAGATGCTGTATAGGCCAGGATTCTGAGCCATCTCTTCAGGTTTACTCATTTTTCTCTGGGTATCTCTCATGCATGAGGAATACATATTAATAAGTGAATGGGTTTTTTTCTCTTGTTAATCTGTCTTTTGTTATAGGAGTTTCAGCCAAGAACTCAGAAGGGTAGAGGGAAAATTATTTTCCTCTTCTATAATGCAACATATTTTTATACTTATTTTATTAGTAGCATGCTTATTATATGAAAATTCCTAAAATGTTGGTATATAAAATATAAATGGAACCTTCCCCATTATCCTACCACTATACATCCCTATTACTATTTTGAAGGTTAGCTTTGTGAATAGTTTTGAATTAACTACTTTTTGAAGATTTAGTAGCTAAATAAAAACTTTGTTTTTCAGTATCAGATTTTTTTCCTTTCCCTCCTAATACCAAAATGTTACAATTTATTTAGAAACTGAATTAATCTGATTAATTTTAGCACAGTTGTTGCTGATAGAGAATGCTACTGAAAAACCGACTTTCTTTGAAGACAATGAGGTCGACTTATGCCAATTTACAACCCTGGGTGGAGTGTACCATTTGGATATTTTGGAGCTTCCCCCACAGTATAAACCAATGAAAAGCTGGATGATTGTGGAAGTAGGTTGGTTTTTGAGTCAGATTTATGAGTAAAATAATTTCTCACACTTTTATCTTAAATAATCTAACATCTAGTGAACTTTAACCTTTAACCCTATTAACCATAAAGGAAAAAACTAATTTTAAACTGTCTTGAATTTATATGTTTAGATTGTGCCAATTTGGTCTTAATGATAGTCTATTTAAAAGGCTTTCAAACTTTTTCTGTAAAGGGTCAGATGGTAAATATTTTCATATTTGTGGGCATGCCAGCTCCGTTGCAACACTACCATTGTAACAATACAACAGCCATATGTAAATAAAAACCTTATTGTCATTTACATATGGACCAGATTTTCCAGGGACCATAGTTTGTATACTCTGGTCTAGATCAGTGGTTCTCAACATGTGGTCCCTTGGCCAAAAGTATTGGCATCATCTGGGGATTTTCTAGAAATGCAAATTCATGGGCCCCATTCTAGTTTTACTGAATCAGAAAGTCTGGAGATGAGGCTTGGCAGTCTGTATTAGCAAAACACACCTTAAAGTTTGAGAACCTCTGGTCTGGATCCTTGATGTGTAAAGTATGTCCATGAACCAGCAACATCAGCATCACCCAAAAACCTGTTAGAAATGCCTAATTTGGTAACCTCAGTTCAACTGAGTCTGAATTTTAAAAAGACCCTCAGGTGTTTCATATGCACATTTAAGTTTGAGAAGCACAGATCCAGGTTATGGCAATGTTGCTGATGCATGTTCCATGCTTTTAGTAAGGATGCTGATGACAGCAGTTGTTAGATCATTTTTGAAGGAGTTCCTCACTCCTGTTTCGATAAATAGTAGCATTTTCCCTAGCTAGTCACTTTGTTTACTTTAACTTTGCTTCATGGTGGCTTATGTACCAATTATATCCTGTTATGTTGTCACAGCTCTTTCCTCCTTCCTTCCCTCCTCTCCAGGCTTTCTGTTTTCTCCCCCTCCCTCCCATTCTCCCTGTTTCTCCACCTCTTTCACTTTCTCCTCCAGCACATCATGTACATAGACTGACAGGCACTTCTCACCCACAGTTCTACCCATTAAAGACCTTGGTACATTTTTGTATTAGAGTGGTATTTCTCAGCATTCCCCCCCCCCATTATTACCCCTCTAAGGAGACTTTGTAGATATTTTCTTTCCTAACCCCCCACCCCATGAAATTTTAATACCACAGTTATATAGTATTTTTGTGTATGTAATATATCTATATCTATCTGTGCTTTATACCTAAACAGTATGATTTATGCCCCCTAAACATTTTCACCCCTTTGGGATGATATTGCAGTTCTTTTCCCATTCTCCCCACAAATGAGAATGCACTTACTAGAGCATGCCTGGGGAGATAATCTGGACTGTAACCACTTTAAACAATCTTTTTAAAAAATTTTTTTAAATATTTATTTATTTATTTATTTATTTATTTATTTATTTATTTATTTATTTTATTAGGGTTGAATTTGCCAACATAGAGCTCATCCCATCAAGTGCCCCCCTCAGTGCCTGTCACCCAGTCACCCCCACCCCCTGCTCACCTCCCTTTCTACCACCCCTTGTTCGTTTCCCAGAGTTAGGAGTCTCTCATGTTCTGTCTCCCTTTCTGATATTTCCCACTCATTTTTTTCTCCTTTCCCCTTTATTCCCTTTCACTATTTTTTATATTCCCCAAATGAATGGGACCATATAATGTTTGTCCTTCTCCAATTGACTTATTTCACTTAGCATAATACCCTCCAGTTCCATCCACGTGGAAGCAAATGGTGGGTATTTGTCATTTCTAATGGCTGAGTAATATTCCATGGTATACATATACCACATCTTCTTTATCCATTTATCTTTCGATGGACTGAGGCTCCTTCCACAGTTTGGCTATTGTGGACATTGCTGCTATAAACATCAGGGTGCAGGTGTCCCGGCGTTTCACTGCATCTGTATCTTTAAACAATCTGTTTGAATCAGCTTTTCCTATCCCACGGTTACTTGAAGGACAATGGGGAGTCCAAGAAAGGCATCCCTTTGGTGAAGGTAGGCTTTCAAAAGTCTTTATCCATAGAAAGGGCCCAGCCAGAGCTGGGGTTTCCAAGAATTCATTCAAAGATCTGTTCTTGAATTTTGTTGGTGTCCTGATATCACCATTTCATATTCTCCACTTGAGCCCAAAGTATCCTCCTTTACACTTGTTTTTCTCTTCTGCAACAGAAGTCTTCTTCCTTTTATTCAAGTCTCTTTTCAATAATCTCCCACCTCCTCTAGAGTTTCTACCAATTCTCTGTTTTTCCTGTTTTGTACTATTCTTAATCTTCCCTACTTCTCCCTCCCTAGATCCTTTCCTGCTATGTTCAGATAATAGACAAATCTCCCTGATCCCAGAGATAGCTGCTGTTGGCTTAATTTACTTTCTCTTCCCAGCTTTATTGAGATATAATTGACATAAAGCATTGTATAAGTTTAAGGTGTACCAACGTGATGATTTTTAATTTACTTTCATCCATTCATTTCTACACTTCTCAGAAGTTTGCTAATACTACTCCTTTCTCTCTTTACCTACACACCCTAACCAAGGTATTAGAAAATGGTATTTGGGGTCCTATAGCTCTGTTTTTGAGTTGTGATGCCTCCTTGAAGTCATTTGTAATCTTTGGCAAATTATTTGATTTCTCTAAGTTCTAGCTATCTCTGTTAAATATATGTCTTGTAGTATTCCTTGGAGGAATAAGATAATGAGTAAGTCCCAGCATAGAACCTGGACCATAAGAAAATTCTGTAATTCAGATTTAGTGATTTTACCCCTTAATCAGTATGTCTTAAGTTTGTTGTGACATTTTGTTAATCTGTAGTTAAATGAGGCCAATCTTCAGTGCTTATAAAGAATAATTATATATAGCTTACTCACCATTGTTTACATCTTTAATTGTTGCCAGTCAGCTTCTAACTAGATGTTATTTTGGTCATTTTTGAAAAGATACTCAAAGAAGGATTGCAGAAATACATATATCCTCCAGAAACTACTGAAGATGTAGAAACAGAAAATGCTTTCCCACCCATAAAGGTCACGCTTGAGGTTCAAGAGAATGTAATCTTTTTTGAGGATCCTATGGTTGCAAGGTGGGATGCTGAAGGTACAGCAAATCGTTATTCAGCTTTGATAATTATGTAATGAAAAGAGCTATAACACAAATCCTTAAAACAGAAAATACAGTGTGTAAACTCTGAATTTCTAATCTTCACATTCCTGTGGCAATTCTGGAGTCTTTGTTTGCTCTTGATGGAAATGAATAGAGATTAGAGTTTATTTATAGTTTTGTAACTGTTAATTCCTGAAGTGTTATATCTCCCATCATCTCTGAACAATTACTTATATCATGCTTTAAAAAAATAACAGAAATATCAAAATAACACATGAAAAACAAATAAATGAAAAACCTACTCTCTCCTGAAATGACTACACAATTCAGATTTGGGTAATTGAAATTTACTTTAATAATTTAGAAATTGCAAATCTTATTACAAACAAGTACTGGAGATCGGGAGTGGGCCATTGGCAGACCTGAGATAGAGGAACACTAGCTGCTTTCTGCCTCTTTATAACTTGATTGTTGAACCATGGGAAATTATTGCTTATCCAAAATGTGAAATAAGTAAATAACAAAATCTGAAGTACCAGCAGAATTACAAGCTAATGATTTACTAATTACTAACAAATACTTCATTTGGGGTTGACTGGCTCAACTTTGAAAAGTCTTGTTCTAAAAAAAAAAAAGTAAAAAAAAGTCTTGTTCTTGTGAATTAATGTACATAGGCTTGAGGCTGCTATAGTTTTAAAAGTTAAGGCCTAACATACCATGCAGAGGAGTTTGGACTTGATCCTGTGGACAGGAAGAAACTCCCAGCAAAATTGGCTTTTTGTAGAGATTCTCTTCCAAACATAAAAGATCAATTTATACATATTTTCAGTTGAGTGGTTTCATTCATCTTATTTTTATATAGAAAAAGTGAAACTGTTACTTTCTTCCTTATTATGAAGGTAAACATTGGCAAACTGATGGCATCAGCAATGTCTCTTATAAATCAGAAGAAAGACTTATAACATTCAGCCTAGAAACGTTTGGCCCTGTTACCTTGATTCAAGATACTCATGTTAATATGCCCTTCCAGTCATGGGAACTAAGACCACTTGGTGTGAATAAAGTACTTTTGACCGTGACTACAGTATTTACTGAAGTTCAAATACAAATTAAGGTAAATCCCGGTTATAGTAAGTCATATGAAAGAGGTAAACTGCTTTGATGACAGTAAAAGTATGTCAAAGCAGTCACTGGTGGTTTACATATTGAAATGTCTTTTATAAATATATTTAAAATATACTTTGAGCCATAATTTCTAAATGAAATAGTATTTGGATAGGTAGTATCATGTAATAAGTAAGGTGCAAATTTGTACCCTAAAGCTACAATCCTGGTTGCAGTGTGACTTCCAGAGAATTTTTGATCCACTCTAAAGAGGCTTTTTCTTCAAAACCAGATGAGAGATTTGGACTCTGTACACCTTCAAATTGCCATTTTGCAAACTTTAAAACTGGATAATTTTGCAATATTATGTTAGATCTTATATATGTAAAAAATTATCCTTAAAAGTTGCAACATGAATAGCTATTAAATAGCTACTGTAATTCAATGTGACAATATTCAGTGTTCTTAGATCATACTTCACAATGAGAGGAGACCTAGGAGATCTTTTAGTCCCATGACTGTTCAGATAAAGCCCAAAAAGACTTGACCCACTGGGTGAGATAACAGGGAGACTTTGTGGCAGAGTTCTCAGAGCTAGCCTAAAATATACCTGTCTTGCATTCTTTTTTTTTTTTTAATTTTTTATTTATTTATGATAGTCACACAGAGAGAGAGAGAGAGGCAGAGACACAGGCAGAGGGAGAAGCAGGCTCCATGCACCGGGAGCCTGATGTGGGATTCGATCCCGGGTCTCCAGGATCGCACCCTGGGCCAAAGGCAGGCGCCAAACCGCTGCACCACCCAGGGATCCCCTTGCATTCTTTTTAATACAGAAGGACATAAGGCTAAAAATACATACATAATATACATATATGTATATTATGTGGAACCTAAAGGCTGGAAATGGAATAATAAGGTAATAATTTACTTATACAAGTAAAAAGCTGCTTTCTTCTTCTTGAAACTAGGAAAACCTCTGCATGTTAACATCAATCAAACTAAGTGACAAAAAGCATTCATCTACTTTGGAAGGAAAATGGATGACTCCGATTTCTTTCATTTTTGCTTTGAAAGAAACTGGATTAAATATCTTCCCTAGTGGACACTCTCATTTTTATGTTATTATAAATTATAAGGTAAGAACAAATCTTTCCAAATTTAATGTTATAGATATTTAGAATGTTAGCAAGTATTAAATGTTCCATAACTCTTCAGATGTGTTTTATTTAGGTTTTCTATATTCACTTATACAGAATTATAGTTAGGAAGGAATAAACAACAAGACCAGAAATCCAGGGTTCTTTCAAGTTTAATAATCCTCCCCAAGAAAGTAAGTCTATAGAATGATCTTCATATTGACAAATGGAGCATTATCCACAGCTGGTCAGTTTAGTGCAAAGGTAGGTAGAGCAACTCTGCATTTTGTGTATTTTCTTTCTTCTTCCAGGCTGGATATATAGATTTCTTAAAAGAGTAAATGACTCAGCAGTTTCCCAAATATGACAAATTAGGCAAAATTAAATACATAAAAGGACCACCAATATACAGAACCCACTTCCTTCTTTCTTGGGAGAGGATCCTTGTCTGCATACTGCTTCATGTTACTCATAAGGTTTTAGTTAAATAACATCCTTCCATATTAAACTGTGTGTCCCTTGAGGAGGGGGATTATTCTTTCATCACCTATGATCCTTCTGGCACCTAGAATATTCCTTGAATCAGATGTTTTGTAGATATTTGATATGTAAATTAAGCCAAAGTAGGTTCTAATCATGAAAGATGTATTGGGCAGAAAAGTTCTATACCCCAAAACAAGTTTACAATATACCAGAAAATGATAATCTAGGTAGACATGTAACACATGAAAATAGTATCACTGAGATACTGTACATATGTGTAGAGAAAAAAAATACTTTGGTTTTTACTAAAAACCAAGCTGGCTCAATTGCCAGCTTCTCTACAAAGGCTGAATGTAGTGTACTTTTCATCTCAGAATATTCAAGAATTTTTTTTTCTGAACATATATTCTAGGCATTGTTTTAGATGCTTAGGATCCATTAATGAATAAAAAAAGTTTCCTGCCCTTGTGGAGCTTACATTCTAGCAGAAGAAGGCAAAAATATACTAGATAATCTTATATTTTATGAAAAAGAAAAAAGGGCAGACCAGGACTCATGGGGTTAAGGCAACATACAAATAGGGTATTGGAGGAGGGGTGTTCATTGAGAAGGTATTAGATCTAAGCAAAACTCAAAAGTGGGGAATTTAGCCAAGTGGAGCTGAGAGAGCAAAGGAAACGCAAAGGCGATGATAATGGTGTGTGTGTGGGTGGGTGGGTGGATATCTGATCAGAGAGGCCGTTGTGGGTTAGGACTTTGGTTTCTCTTCTGAGAGAAAGGCAACACTATTGCCCAGTCTTAGCAGTCATGTAATATGACTTACATTTAAAATGGATTTTTCTAAAAAATAAAAAATAAAAAGTATTTTTCTGTGTTGAGAAGTGACCGTAGGAGGCCAAAGATGGGAGACTAGTTGAGAGGCTCTATGATTAATTCTATTTTATATTGACAGGATCCTTTGGTGGAATTGAAAGCTTATCGACAACTGGCCCTGCTAAGTTCTGCTTTTGCATTTGGTTGGAGCAAGTGGAATGTAGTATGTACTTCAAAAAAAGTTATAGTTAAGGTATAGTATGTAAAATCTGTAACAATGCTTTGTCCTCCAAAAGTAAGTACTCCAAAGTTAAATGAATGTAGGCCATGGCTTCTCCTCTTGAAAAGGTGAAAAAAATTAACATTCAAAATAGTTTTAAAACTTCACTTTTATTTTGTCAAAAATATAAAACCAAACTATATAAAGGTTATGCCTTCATTGTCCATTATGGTATCAAACACTCTTGACTTCAGGCTAGCGTCCTTTAGCTCTTTACATCAATAGGAGAACAAATGGAAGCTTTTTATGTGAATCAGATTTTTTCCTCAGAGATGGTTAGGCCTCCTAGTTAACTTTCTGGCACTGCTAAGAAAGAGATAACATTCTTAAAGCTGACTGATGAATTGTTTTAGTATAAGCGAGCCACCATATGTACTAGTGTATTGTGTGTTTCTCCCACTTGAAATAAGCTCTTTGAGGATGGGATTTTATTGTTGCAATTGTTAGTATGTTTTTGCCCTTCGTTGTTATATCCCCAGCACCTAGAATGTTCCCTGGCACATGGTAGCTACTAAATAAACCTCTGTTGAGTGAGTTAATACATTTTAATAAGCTCCATAAAAACATGGTTTAAGAAATGGAACACTAAGAATGTTTCTTTTACATTAGAAATTTTGGGGACCAAATTCAAATTATACTCTGCCAAAATACCCAATAGAAGAACTATTAACGAATTTCTCTAATTTTCTTTTTCATTAGCTGAGTGAATACCTTACTGAAGAACCTATTCAGAATCCTAATTGGACCCTTTTAATGTTTAGTGGTAACAGAGCACAAAGGCTCAAGATCAACGAAAACAGTGAGACATTCTCTGAAGCCCTTAAAGAAGAAACTGAGTTTCATTCTACTTTATATCACATGGTTAAGGATTTTGCTTCCAAAGAAGCCATGGAGAAAATCAAGAGCTCCAACTGCCAGTTTATTGACTCTGTGTGTTATATGCTACTCTCCACTAGATTACTCAGCTATTCTTAATCCCCACTATTAAAATTGATAAATTTTATGCAATATGAAGAATCAAGCAACTTGGAGCAAAATCAGGTATTTCTTCAATAAAATGTAATGAGTGACTATATTTCAGGACGTTATTAAAATCTAATAAGCATTTTATTCTCAAATTTTATTTTTTAAAAAGTAGGTTTTTTTCCCTATGGATATTTAGCCTACTGAAACTTTCACTTTTCACTCTATGAAGATTTGAGTGGTTCTTTATTTCAATACATTTTAACAAACAATATATATCTCCTCCTCAAAAAAGCTCATTAAAAGATCATAGGCAGGCTTCCTCACCATTGTGTTTTAGAGAGGAAATCACAGAAAGAGGGAGTATAAAATATCTTACGGTCCTTCTGAGACCCTCTGGTTCTAAGCTATAATTTCCCAACTAAAAATGACTTAATTTACGAAGTTCAGATACTGAAACTTTAAAAATCAAGACACACACACACAGTAAGATATGCTGTAGTCACACTGGTGGTGGTCCATTGTGTTGGAGTCTGGTGAATGGCCACAAGATTTGTTCTAGAGACATCCAGGAGTCCCCATCTGGTGTGGGAGCAGCATCCACAGACTTTTGGAAAAATCGTCCTGTGAGGAAGCTCATCAAAGCTGCAAACAGTACGATGAATGCAACAGAAAACCAGAGTGCCTTATTTGCTTTTGTGATGGAAGTCGTGAGATTTGTTGCCCAGGAAGCTATTGTGTCATAACTATAAGGAAAATACAAATTCAGAATTTGTTAATAGCAATATTAAAGAATATTGCCAGCAATATCAGTCAAGTCATCGATCTGCCCTACATACCACAAACATTGCCTTGTGATAAGCTATGTAATGATCTGCTCTCTTGGTTTGGGCCACAATTTGCGCCGCCCCCCCCCCCCAATAATTTTTAGAATTAGAGAAATGATTTAGACTTAAATGCAATGGTGATGATCTGAAAATTGGGTGACTCAGGTATTATATTTGAGTATTTATCTCATTGTTTCAATCAGGTAAGGCAACTTAAATCCCTACAGTAGAAACAAAAATGTTATTTAATGGGTAGAGTATGGTGTGTGTGTGTGTGTGTGTGTGTGTGTGTGTGTGTGTCACTTATTTCTCACCATAACCTGAATTTTTGCTCTATTGAAATATTTAAACTATTTTTAGAAACACCCACAAGAAAAACTTATAAGTCTTAGCATTTTACACATGCTACTACTATCATCCCTATCTTCTAGATGAAGAAATTGATGCTCAAAAGTGGATGAACTATGCCATCTGGCTCTAGAACCTAAACTGTGACCTGTCACAGGTTCAGGGATAACTCCTGTAGACTATGTGAAGTTTGTTTTTTATCTTAAACTTAACCCTGCCTCATCTTTTCCATTCCATAAAAATGGTATCATTAGCAAGCAGACAACTTACATTGAAGAGCCATCCCATTTTGATGGATTATTTCTCTTTTCAGAAAGACTTGGCTTTCTTGTCCTTTCTACTATTTCTTCTCCAGGGAGTTCTGAGTCATCTTTAGTTCTGTAAATAAGTATTATTTTTAAATATTTGAAACTATGGATAATATACTATTTATAAAATATTGCTAAATTTTATTGTATTACTAAAGAGGCTTACAACTATTTGTTTTGCTTTAGAAAGATTTGCTATATATCTAATTCTAAAATTCAAATCACTCATCTTTTATTTATGGAAATTTAATTTTAAAAACTTGCTATATAGAAAAATGTTTGTTGTAGGAAGTTGAGATACTAGCCAAAGGATAAATAAAAAGGAAAAATTTACAAAGACCATGTAGAAGTTAGTCAGTTATCACCACTCCATAATTAACCAGTGTTATTAACCTGTGATTTCTTTCTCTGCTTGTGTATAGTTACTATGCTTTAAAAAACAAAGGTGAATATTTCTTGCTCTGTATTTTCTTATTAAACATGTGGTAAAATTTTTTTCCTTCTACCACAAAATTATTAACAGTGGATTTTATGCTAAACTGGAGTAATATCAAAGTGTCATTTCTTCTTTAAAAATCTTAATTTTAAAAGTGTTTATAACAATACATTCAGTACAATGCTAGCTAAAATTAATATTTAATGAGCTGGGAAATAGAAATTGGAGCAAATATATTTTAAATAAAATCATCTTGTCTTTAACCTGAACAAAACTTGTTTCATTATCATGTTCATTGATAAGTTCCTAGTTGGATTTGAATTTTGAAATTCCAGGCTCATAATGCCGTCACTATTACCAAAGGCAGCTGTTTCTCAAAGTTGTTTTTTTCTTTTCTTCTTGGACATCTAAAGGGAATGTGTTTGTCTGGTTTTAGTTTTTAAGGGAAACATGGGTCCCTTGGTGGTATGTATGGTCGGTTGAATGACTGACTCTTGATTTTAGTTCAGGTCATGATCTTAGGGTCCTAGGATCCAGCCTGGTGGCCAGCTCCATGCGAAGTGGGTGTCTGCTTGTCCCTCTCCCTCTGCTCTTTCCCCAGCTTGCTTGTATCGCTCTCTAAAATAAATAAAATCTAAAAAAATAAATAAATATAAACAAGGCCTTACAAAAATTCTTGTAAGATTCTCAAGATTTCAATCTTTGGTTCACTAAGACTTCTCAATAGAAATCTTACCATACTAACAAAAAGCAAAAAATAGATTTTAATCTTTTGAAGAAAAATTGATTTTTTTTTAACCCAGATCAGAAAAATCCATTATGTTAACTGAAAAGAGTTTTGACACATGCAGTGGGCTCCCAGGATTATTTTAAAAACAAAAACCTGAGAGTAGGCACTATGTCTCATTCATCTTTATACCCCTTAGGATTGAGTTTAGTACCTACCACATAGTAGGCAGGTAATGAACATGTATAAAATGAACATAAAATCGTTTCATTAAAATCTCTCTAGATGAGGAAACTGAGACCAAATAAACAATTTTTCCAATGTCATTCAAGGACTTAGAGGCCACATTTCTTCATGTCCCTCCTCCGCTGCCCTCTACCTGTTGCTATGAAGTATAGCAATATAGAGTTTTGTTTCCCCTACTGTTCATTTACATAAAGAGTAGATAGATGCATATACAATACACATATATTACATATATACCTATATAATTCATGTTTTGCTTTTTAATCTAAGTGGATGGACGTTTCTTCTATGGCTCTTTACTGACCTTTCTCCTTGATGACCAGATACTTATAGAGGAAAAAAATAATATTCACAATTCTGGCACACTTCAGGGTCTTCTAACTTAAGACCTCAAACCCTGCAGTTTTGAGTGCTACAGGAGTGCATATGTTTTGCAATAACATTTATATAATGCTTTACAGTTTATAAAAGTTTTAATTATCTTTTTAATAATGTAGCAATGTCTCATTTCCATAGAGTAAAAGTGATCCCCACTATTTCCCAGCTCACATCAAGTTAACACACACACACACACACACACACACACACACACACACACACACCAAACTTCACCTACTTTAGTTCACATTTTTCTTCTTCAGCATCTGCCCAGGAATAGGTGCTAATAAATCGGTGTAATGAGGGACGGTGTTCACTCTGCTTTGACCCCAAAATACGCCTAAGTAAAGATGATTATAGCCACTTGTCAAATTAATACATCTGTAGCCATTATCAATTTATTTTCTACTACCCAAATTAATACAAAAATTGTATGTTCTATTTTTTTGGCACATTCACATTATACTTCCAGGAAATTTCATGGTTATATACCTATTTTATAATTATTGTACATACACTATGTGCAAATCAAAAGTTACTTTCTTACTTATTGCAAACATTTACTTCAGTAAGTTACAAAGCAGTAGGTTTCCCAAAGAGCAACCATAAAATTAAACTTACCAGCTGCTTGACCTCCTACTGAATCGGTCATTTTCCATCCCAGCCACCTTTAAATTTCAGATGTTAAAGAAATAATGAAATATGAATTTAGTGAAGTTTATGTTTTTGTTACATGAAAATTAATTTGCTTTTGACTAAGAAAGAACACTTAAGAATTTGCTCACCATTCCTGCATTTCCAATATTTCTGGGCAAAGAGGCAATGGTCACCCTTCGGAGAGAAGATGGCTATCCAAAGAGGCCAAAGGTACATTTAGAAAACTACTAGTATTTTATTATTGTATACAACACTAATATATACCCTTGTACATACATATCCCTGCATCTGACCACTGCTGAGTAACCAGCAGACATATTTTGTTATGGCCATAGTGTCTTCCAGAAATATTGTACCAGTTTATATTCTACCTTCTCCAAAACCTGGATGAGGGCAGCCCCGGTGGCCCAGCTGTTTAGCACCACCTTTAGCCCGGGGTGTGATCCTGGAGACCCAGGATGGAGTCCCATGTCAGGCTCCCTGCATGGAGCCTGCTTCTCCCTCTGCCTGTGTCTCTGCCCCCCTCTCTCTCTCTCTGTGTCTGTCACAAATAAATAAATAAATTTTTTAAAAAAACAACAACAACACTGGATGAGTATAATTTTTGCCAGTCAAATAAGGTTTCTTGTTTAGTTTTTCTGGTAACATTGAACACTTTTTTAATGCTGAATAATCACGTATATATCTGCTCTGGAAACTATGACCTTTGCCCATATCAATTTTATTAATGATAATTCTGGAAGAAATTTTTTCTCATTGTTAATGCAGCCAAATATATCCTTCTTTTGCTGTCATTTCTTTTATGCTGAGCTTTTCTCAACTCAAGAGGAGATAAATGTGCACCTATATGTAGCTTTTGTTTTCATGGTTTCATTTTTTCCCATTTAACACATTTAAAGATGGATATGATATTTTGATAAACTGATGTGTTTATCAGCCTTGAGATTTGCACAGGAAAATGTTGTATACTATTAGGTGATTCTTTTATTAAAAAAAGATTTATCTAAAAAAAAAAAAAGACTTTATCTATTTCTTTGGGAGAGAGAGAGCATGAGTGGGGTAAGCCCCCCACCCCCAACCCAGTGATGGGGGCTTGATTCCAGGACTCTG